CTATTCTAGTCCTCCCTAATAGAATAGAGACCTCCATTCCCCAGTTGGAAGCTGGCCTCCAGTCGGTGAAGACCCTAGTACATATACATGCAATTGAGTACTGGCTGAAATTGAAAAAGGGAATTGACTCAGTATTAGTGCTGACAGATTTTAGAGAGAACATGGTAGCTGCTTTGCCAATGCATCTATCCAGCTTGACATCTAAGGAGAGAGTGTCCGAGTCTGTTGAGCCAAGGTACACAAAGTCATGAACAACCTCCAATTCTTGTGTGGAGATGGTAATAGAGGGAGGTGAGTCCATGCCCTTGCCCATGACTTGGGTTTTCTTCAGGTTGATTGTTAATCCAAAGTCTTGGCAGGCCTTGCTAAATGAGTGATGAGCTATTGGAGGTCTTCAGGAGAGTGGGGAACAACAGCTGCATAATTGGCGAAGAGGAAATTGCGCATGCATTTCAGCTAGACTTTGGTCTTCGCTTTCAATCTAAAGAGATTAAAGAGCTTTCCATCTGATCTAGTCCAAAGATAGACACCTGCTGTTGCAGTTCTAAAGGTGTGCTTCAGCATGACAGCAAAATGGTAAGTGAAACTTACCATGTATGTTGGGGCGGGTAGGGGGAGGTTATTTCACCCACTCCTTGGACATATCACCTTATGACGGTGCCTCCAGGACTTCACTTTTACAAACCAAAAATCTCTACAAGGAACAATGTTTTCATGACACTATAAGGAACCAGCTGGGCTCACCCCACCACGAACACCAAGAACTACACCCTTGACTTCAGGCTACCCTGGAGTTCAAGACTCCAGCCTAGTGGACTGTCGTCCAGGCCATGCGGAAGAGGCAGACCGAGCACTCCAGGAAAGCTGTGGTGTCATACCTATAGGCTTGAAGTCCATCCCACTCGCTCATGGGTGATGACCAAACAGATATGGCACTCATTTACGTAGAGACACAGCCGTTTAGAGTGAAAGACTCAGAGTATCTACCTGAATTTTGCATATACTCTTTGGTTATCTTCCTGTTCTATCCAGATTAAAATCCAGGAACAGTTTTTTAAAAATCTGTGAATTTTAAAGGAGACAGCAAAAAAAAAAAAAAGCCATAACTATAATGACAGAGGAAAGAACAACACACCTCTTAAGATGGATGAAAAATCAGGAAAGTCCAGCTCCTGGTCACATGGACAACAGAGCTATGTGGAAGTCAGTAGGCTAAAGTTGGTAGAAGCAAAGTGAATTGTAAAAATATGGGGGTTTTGTACCCACTTAGTCCTTTGGGAGAAAGAAAAGGCAACATCACAATCATCTCACCATCCTCTCTGTCTCTCAGCAATGTGTCATGGAAGTTCTGGTGGTGGCTGCTCCCAAGGATCTTGATGTTACTGGGGAAAAATTAACTGACTTGCTTGTCTAAGTTTTGCAATGCATTGCATCTTACTAACCAAACCTCTGATCTAAAAGAAATAAATCTTTTTACCTGCCTTGCAAATGCCGAAGCGATTTTGAATTGGATTCTTCTCTTCTGGTCCAGAGAAAAACAAGGAGAAATGAGCTCCGTTCCACCCACTCCTTTACAGAGAGAGAGAGAGAGAAAAAGAAAAAAGGAATCAGTTTGGGGCCTTTTTGGATAAAGAACGTACGACTTACAATAAGTGCCTTTGTCTTTTTGTATACCTTGTGGGCTCCATCTCAGTCTCCTTCAGAGAGGAGAAAAAGGGGGAATGGAAAGGAACCAAGGAAAGGAACACCAGGGAGGTAGGGAGACAACAGGAGAAGGAAGGCGCATGTCACGGATTGTGAGAGATGAGCCTGATCAGGGAAGGGGTTAACAGCTGGGAACAAGACAACCACAGGCTCTGCTTCCGGTTCCCACAGGCAGGAAAAAGGAGGAGCAGACCAGGCGGCATTTCTCCCAAGCGGAAAACCCTTCCAGGTGAGCCAAGATGGTGTCTGGAGAATAAGTCAGACTTGGGAGACCTGGCTTCCAACCTTTGCTCAGGAGGGGAAGCTTCCTGGTGGGGGTGTCATTGGAGATCCCCTGAGCATCTCCCTTCTCTCAAAAATTCCTCTTAGCATCCCTGAAAGTCAGAAGCAACTTCACAACACAGAACTACCCCCAGCAATCTCATCTAAATCGAATCAGGATATTTGAGGGTTGCAAATCTACCGACTGAATCTCCAGTCTCATATTGGAGAGGCACGGGATATAACGTTCACCCCTCATTTCCCTCTTATGCCCCCAGATTGCCACCCACACACCTCACACAGCTCTCTTTCCCTCTTTGCTGCCAATGGAGGTTTCCTCTCTCTCTTGCCACGGGGCCAAAAAGCAAAGCCAAGCAAAGCGTGCGGCTTATATACCGCCCCATAGTGCTTCTCTGGGTGGTTTTACAAGTTAATTATGCAGGCTACACATTCCCCCCCCCCAGCGAGCTGGGTACTCATTTTACCAACCTCGGAAGGATGGAAGGCTGAGTCAACCTTGAGCCGGCTACCTGGGATTTGAACCCCAGGTCGTGAGCACAGTTTTGGCCGCAGTACAGGAGTTTAACCACTGCGCCACGAGGCTCTTGGTTAACAGAAAGAAAGCCACCTCGTTCTGGACGGTGAAAGATGCCGACACATGGCCCATCCCGGCAGGCCTTCCTCTCCCTCCAAGCCCAGTGGGCCAAGAGGGAGGCCCCGTGCAGTGGGGTCAAGGAGCCAGGGTGGGCACGGCTCCTCTCTGTCTGCTGAGAGCTTCTCTTTTCGCTCTGAGCTCACCTTCCACCCTCAGGGGAGCTGGGAGAGATACAGACAATGGGGCCTCGCCGCCAGGGAGAGCGCAAATAATTTGAGGATGATTCAGTATGGAAGGGAAGCTTCAGGGCCCTTTGCTTTGCAAAGAGACCTGCAGCCGAAGGAAAACCCAGAAGCAAACGCTGGGGATGGAGATGCAAAAGGCAAAGATGATGCTGAGACCAGAGGCTCCATATATGGGGTGCCAGACGATCCTCTCCCTGGGAAGATTTATGCCAAGCTCTGTTGAATAACGTTCCCTGAAGGGAAGCCCATCATCTCCTGGGGCCCTTTACTGCCTGCCTGCATTTCAGAAAAAACATTCTCATGTTCCGAAGGAACACAACAGGGAAGCTCCCAAGCCAAACAGGGAAGACGTTGTTGCAACATCTCCCCATCCTTTAAATTAGATGACAGACGGAACCCAAGTGGACCTAAAGACACGGGGATTTCGCACCCACAACCTCCTTTTTGAGTGTGGAGAAGAACAGGCCACCTCACACCCGTTTCAGTGTCCTTTCCATGCCTCCACATGTGCCAGGGAAGACTTATTGATTGGTTGACCAGGACATTTATTTCCTGCGATGCCCTCCCCCCATGTCACGGATTGTGAGACCCATCATCCTAACACTACAAAGCGAGGCACAGAGAGCAGACGATGGGGGGGCGGGAACGGATCAAACCACTGACCTGAAAAATAATCACAGCATTAAAAGATGGTAAAAATAGCATTAAGCCTCCAAATAAGTTCTCTCAAGTTCTGGAGAAAAAGGGTATGAGGGCGGTGAGGGAAGCCGAGTTACTTTTTCATTCCTTTTTTTACCCCCACCGATGCCTACGGGCTTAAGGAGCCATGGGGAGGGGGGGGTTTGCTGCCTCCAGGGGTGGGATCGGGACCCGAGACATCCCATCTCCCACCCCCACCCCGATCGTCCCCTAATCAAAGAAGCAGAAGAAAAAGCTTGCCTTGGAAGGCGATCCTCCAATGCAGACCAAGAGGGGGCTAATTTGCAATCCGGATTTCACGGAGAATCGCTCCCCCCCCCTTGCATAAGCCTCGGAGTTTTTGTCTTTCTTTTTCGGAACCCC